TTCACTGTTTCCCCATGTTCATGAGCACATGTGTGAAAGATGGTGGGGAATGATGGAGAGGAAAGTTTTTGATTAGCCTTCCTGGGGATTCCGTCCCCAACCTATCCTCTGTCAGTCCCAGGCTGCCTATTTCTGAGCTGCACTGCCAAGGACATAGTCACTGGATGACAGAGTTAGTCGTTAACCATACATTTCAGTACATGCATACTCAAAGACAGTTCCAGATGCTTTGGGAGGTAAAAATACCAAAGTAAACTTGTTGAAGTGTCTGCCATTGTGGACTTTTAATGTGAGGGCTAGAGTAGCTTAAACATTGTTAAAGTGTGGCAGTGGGCCAGCAGCACAGGCATCACCTAGGAGCCTGTCACAAGTGTAGAATGTCAGGCTCCACTCCAAACCCTCTGGACCAGCATCTGCATCTTAGATCTCCAGATGATTCACAGACGCAGAAACGTTCTATCAGCAGTGACCTAGAACACGAAGTGGGAAGTGCTGTGAGAATTCAGGATAATCACACTTTTTTTAGCTCTGTACATAAAATTATCTTATTGAATTTTCATAACTCCATGAAGTAGGTACTGATAGTATCCTTATTTGACAGATTGAAAACTTAAGATAGAGATGAAGTGTCTTGCCAAGCTGATAAAAGCTAGGAAGAGGGGGCGCCTAGCTGCCAATCTCCACTGACTGGGAAAATATTAGGGAGGGGAACTTAAGGTGAAGGAAGGGAAATGGAAAGTTGCAGGTGGTATTTTAAGTACCAAAAGGGGGCTGGCGTGGTGTCTTAGTGGTTAACTTCTCGTGCACTGTTTCGGCAGCCTGGGGTTTACAGGTTCAGATCCTGGGTGTGGACCTACACACTGCTCATCAAGCCATGCTGTGGCAGTGTCCCACGTATAAAGTAGAGGAAGGTGGGCACGGCTGTTAGCTCAGGGGCAGTCTTCCTCAGCAAAAAGAGGAGGATTGGCAGCAGATGTTAGCTCAGGGCTAATCTTCCTCAAAAAAATAAAGTGCCAAAAATACCACAGTTCTGTCATTAAACTCTGTTGTTTGTGAAAGTGAATAGTGGGAAATAAAGTTCAAAGCGTAGGTAAAAGCCAGGTCATGCAGATCCAACTCCAGCCGTACAACCAGTGTTGACGTTTCCTCGTTTGAGAAAGAGATGGAAAACTGCTGCATGTTGTTTCTGTGAATAACATGTGACCTATGAAGAAGTCCGTTTTTCTTTCTGTAAGAACCTTCTAAAAGTCAGAAAACTTGCCCAGTCCCCTCTCCACCCCACAGGAGACTGTGATGCCTCCTGGCTTTATACTAATTCAGGGGCAAAGCCTCCTATGACAAAGCTGAGATTAGAAAGAGTGGCCCACTCTACTCTGACCTGCTTGGTCTACACCTGCAGGGGTAGATTCTATGACAGACTGCAGTTGGAGGTCTGGCCCACTTTGAGGAAGGTAACCAGGATAGTCAGGAGATTTAAAAACCTGTCAACCTGTATTTGGCAGGTTTAGCCTGGAAAGGAAGACAGGAGGCACAGGAAAGCTATAGCCAAATATTTACTGAGTACATACCATCTGCTAGCTCCTGGGGATGAGAGTGTCGAACGTCACAAAGTAAGTTTCCTGCGTTACGGAGATTAGAGTCTAGTGAGGAAAATGAAAATGATTAGTTAAATCAGAGTCCTGCAAAAGAAGCTCAGACCGGGGCTGGCCCGGTGGTGCAGCAGTTAGTTCACACGTTCTGCTTCAGTGGCCCAGGGTTCGCCGATTTGGATCCTGGGTGTGGACATGGCCCCGCTTGGCAAGCCATGCTGTGGTAGGCGTCCCATATACAAAGTAGAGGAAGATGGGCACAGATGTTAGCTCAGGGCCAGTCTTCTTCAGCAAAAAGAGGAGGATTGGTGGCAGATGTTAGCTCAGGGCTAATCTTTCTCAAAAAAATAAAAAGCTCAGACTGGAAAAACTTCCTTAAGGAAGCAGTGCTTAAACTGAAACCTGAAGAATCAACAGGAATTAGACAGAGAGGATAATCTAATTATGTGCCAAGGCCTTGAGGTGCAACAGCTTGGTGTGTTAGTGACATTGACGAGTCTAGTATGGCTACAGTTGAGAGAATAAATGGGAAAAGGAAAGGAGAGAAGGTTGGATAGATAAGCAAGAACCAGGTATTTTAGTGCCTTGTAACCATGTTTTAGATTGTGGGTTTTGTTTAAAAGGCAATGAAGAACCTATTGAAGGCTTTTTTTTTCAATTTAAAGAGTGGCACCTGAGCTAACAACTGCTGCCAATCTTTTTTTTTTTTTTTTTTCTGTTTTTTCTCCCCAAATCCCCCCAGTACATAGTTGTATATTTTAGTTGTAGTCCTTCTAGTTGTGGCATGTGGGATGCCACCTCAGCATGGCCTGACGAGCAGTGCCATGTCCGCACCCAGGATTTGAACCAGCGAAGCCCCAGGCCATTGAAGAGGAGTGCACAAACTTAACCACTTAGCCACGGGGCCGGCTCCCCTACTGAAGTCTTGAAAGTAGGTGTTGCATAAGTCATGAATTGCAGTGCATAAATCAAAAAGTCCAAATAGGACATGATGTGGAAGATTACTGAGTGGAGGTGACTGAGTGATGCCTGGCTGGATGGATAGATGGAGGATGACACTATTTAAAGGTGAGCTGAGATACCTTCCCTAGTAAGAAATTCATCACTGGAGGTATTCAGGTGTCCAAGAGGGGGTCAAACAATAAATGGGTTTTTCGAACTAGATTCTTTTTGAAGCACCTTATACTACTGAGATTTACAATACCTTGTATTTGGTTATAAATGTCACCACAAATAATAGTTGCCCTTATCTATTTATATAGTATGGTCCTTTTACACAAATTATCAAATTCTCATTACAGCTCTACAAAGTAGGAATTACTCCCACTTTACAAATGAAGATATTGAACCTCAGGTTAAGTAACTTGGCCAAGGTAACAAGGTTAGTGAATAGTCAAATAGCCAAAATTTGAACCCAGATCCATTGTACTCCCAAAGGCCTATCCTCTTAACACCTACTCTATAAAGCTTCTATATAAACAAGTACACAAATATGGTAATAGGCACTTGGCGAATAAACAGTTAAGGCTATAAAGATATTTGGAATTCTAAGGGACTTTGCATTCACTTAAAAATATGTTAGGAACTGGCCTGGCGGTGTAGTGGTTAAGTTTACGTGCTCAGCTTTGGTCGCCTGGGGTTCACAGGTTCGGATCCAGGCACAGACCTACACACCACTCATGAAGCCATAATGTGGCGGTGTCCCACATACAAAATGGAGGTTGGTACAGATGTTAGCTCAGTGACAATCTTCCTCACACACATGCACAATATGTGTGTGTATATATATATATATACATATATATATATATATATATATATATATATTATATATTCTTTTTTTAACACCTGCTATGTGCCAAGCATTGGGGATACAGGAGTCAAATGGACATAGTCCCTGTCTTCCTTGAGTTTACAATAGAGAAGACATATTAAAACAAAATTGCACAAGTAACTAATAGTTTTAAGAGCTTTGAAAGTGAAGTCTAAGGTGCCATGTAACCAGGATCTAATCTAGTGTAGGGAGTTGGGTAGTGATTCAGTTCTCACAACCCTATCTTTCTCGAAAAAGTTTCTGGTTACCATTCTTTAATGGTTTCTGACCTACGTTTAATCTGTTACAGTCCCAAGTCTTTTCTGAATAACTTTTATTCCTTGCTAGAGAGGATTCTGGCTCTGGTCAGTCACTAGCAGACTGTGGGTTTAACATCAGTAGCAGTCACTCCTAAATCAGGAGGTCATTTCACCCTGACGTAAGTACTATATATTTCCAACAGCATTCTGGACTCCATTTTCTGGATGTGTCTCTAATACATCAAATGACTTGCCATACCTCCTCCTTTTGCAAGAACAAAACTGTAATTTCTTCTCCCCCAGGCTTCCCAAATTCATGTTCTCTGTCTCAGTCAACCAGAAGGACCAAGTTGGAATAGCATCAGACAATATTTTTCTGAAAACTACTTGTCATAACTGGGCCTTTCTCTCCTTCCTTATTGTACCCCTCCTCTCGGTGCAAACCCTCCTCTGAATTCTTGCTGTCCTTGTAGTGGATCTTACAATTTAGATTATACACTGGTGTGTGAACTATGTTTTTTTCATTAAGCTTTTGGGGAACACATCATACATTTTATATTTTCCTTGCTGAGTAAATACGTACTAGTCAGTAAATAATTGATTTGATAACATATCACATAGGTTATGGTGCAGATAGCTAGTGTTCACAAAGTGCTTAGAAAATTATACCATTTGTTCCTAATATAAACCTTGTGAAGGAGGTGGAATCCCCATCTATAAAAAGATGAGGAAAATGAGGCTCAAATATGTTAAAAGCCTTCCCAAATCACACTTTCTAAACAATAGTGACATATGAAAGAGGGGAATACTACAAAATGATCCATTAATAGCCTCCCTCCACATTTCCCGGGTAAACTATTCACTCTTTAGGAAAGCCCTCTTTAAGCGCATCTCCTCAAATCTCCACCGAACCTCAGCTTTCTCATTCGTCATGTGAAAATAATAACTGTCCATTCCATGGATTGTTGGAAATGTTCTATAATTTCACTCTCCAGGAGGGTAGCCACTAGCCACATGAGGCTACTTCAATTGAATTAAAATTAAATTAAATGTAAAATTCAGTTCCTCAGCCACACATCCACATTTCAAGTGACTAGTAGCTACCACAGTTGGACAGAGCAGACACAGAACATTTCCATCATTGCAGAAAGTTCTGTTGGACAGTACTGTGCTAGAGCTAGGACTTGCGAAAGATCAGAGAAAGCAATGTGACTGAAGTGCAAACCCAGGCCAGTGCCTGGTTGGTTTTGAGTGGGAAGTTTCACTGGGTGAGTGGGAAGCAAGCTGACCTTTGGAACAGTGACATCACAGAGCACAGCTCACAATGACTCCAGAACACCCCGGCTCCCAGGCTACTCTCCCTAGCTCATATCTAGGTTCCTGAAGCCTCTGCACATGTAGTTCCTGGAGCTGCTGTCTTACTGAAATGTCAACATCTTCATCTTCTATCTGGAACACCATCACGGATTATCTCTCTCTGAGCTCAATATGGAATTGGCTACAAGCAACTCTTCTGGGAGAGACTAGTGTGCCTCAGCAAACAAATTTGGGGCCACTAGATAATCTTGCTCCGGCTCTGCAAGTTGTCCTGGGGATTTTCTTTTTGATTTTGTTGGGAGTAGGAGTATATGCCTTATGGAAACAAAGTGTTCGGTCAATTCAGGTTATACTCTTTTTGTTACAGAGAAATTTAAATAGTTACAAATTGAAATATGATTAGTTCTCTCCCATATTGCTGCCACTCAGTTTTAAGACCATCAGATGAGCAAGGGTGAACCCTTGTCTCTCTTGGTTGAAACTAGGCTATCCTTAAAAACTTCTACCAATTAGATTTTGAGCATAAAAATGCTCTTTCTCACAATGGTCTTTGGCTTGTCTTAAAATAGATGAAACAAACAGGTTCATAACCTGAGAAGGCAGCATTACCCCCAAATTTGTTGAATCACTTATTCATCTTTGAGTGTCTTCTATGTGCCAGACACCATGTGGGGTACCTTTAATAGGAGTATAACTGGGATCTTGGGTTTGGCCTTTCTGTTCTCACGGTGCCACTGCTCTGTAACTGATGAGGAGGCATGTACATTCATGTGGTCATCGCGATGTTTTCATTATTTACTTGGTTTGACAAGATAGGGCTCTATAAATATACAAGGGCTCTTTTTGGGAGTAGGAGTATCATTGGGATTATGAGAAACATTTAGGATTTTACATCTGTTTAATCACCAATAATAATAGCTGTATTTACTGTATAGTCAAAATGCTATGAGAATCCCAATAATTCCATGAAATGGGTAGAGTTTATTTTCATATGACAAACAAGGTAACTGATGTGCATTGAGGTTTAGTGGAAATTTAAGGAGGTAGGATTTAAAGGAGACTTTCTTAAAGGGTGACTGGTTTGCTTGATAAATGCTGAGAGAAGTTATTACCGGATCATTTCGTAGCATTCACTTATTTTCATATGTCATTCCTGTTGAGGAATTGTGGTCACATGCATTCTCTTAACCTCTGAAAACCCTGCGTGGTAGGCAGGGCAGGGATTATCATCTCCATTTTGTAGGCGAGGGAACTTGGTTATCACCTATCTAAGTTGACATAGAATGTCAAAGCACATAAAAGCTGAGATTTGAACCCAATTTTTAGGATTCCAAATTCAGTTCTCCAAAATTTCATTTGATATAATCCAGCTGAACTCTATCCCCAATAGGGATATGTGTGTATACATATTCATATACACCAATTTCAGTTAGCTAGTAGAATATAAGGCAAAAAGGCAAACTCTTACCTGTAATTCTGGGTTCTTCTCTTGTTTGGTTAATGTTTAGCTCAATCACAAAGATGAATTCACAGCCCACTGAACACCTCGGCCAAGAAAAAGAGGTAGTATAATGAGTGGTAAATAGCATGGGCTCTCGGGTCAGATTTCTGGGGCTTCAATCTTGGTTTCATCACTTGCTGTGTGACCTGAGAACAAACATGCTCTAAACCCGTATCCTTATCTATAAGATGGGTTTGCTAACAGTGCCTTCCTCAGAGTTCTTGTGAGGATTAAAGGAGATGTGGTATAAAGCTTAGCACATAATAAGTACTCAATAAACAGTGCCAGTTACTATTAAAAAAAAAAAAGATGATTGGTTTTTTCTTATCCTGGCAGGAATCTATCTTAGTATAGTAAAAAAAATTTTTTCATGACCAGGAAGTCCAGTTTTTCAGACCACTGTGTTCTGAGAGAACAAACATGGAAGTCAGAATTCCTGGATTCCAGTCCTGCCTCTACCGTTTCCAAGTATATGACCTTAGACAACCACGGAGTCCAAACTGGAAATTATCTAAATGGTTATTCAGTTCTGTTTTTTCTACATAAATAGGTCATGCATAGGCAAGGAAACTCCTAGCACAGAGCCCCTGCATGTGGCAAAATTTCAGCAAATGGTATCTATTATTATAGTCTTTATTAGTTAAATGCAAATAATAATCCCTGACCTGCCTGCCACTCTGTTTTGTGGTGAAGACCAAAAAACAAAATAGATGTGCAGATGTTTTGTTAAACAGGAGGCTTGGCATAGGAATGAGGGATTATTGTTACTATTAGGTTTTCATTTTATTTTGCATCTATAGTAAACCGTGGCATTTCACATGAATAAACAAGTAACGTTCAACTTCTGTTTTATTTTAGAGAATACTGCTTTTTGTAATCACTCTCTACAAGCTTTACAAGAAGGGCTCAGATTTTTTTCAGGCTTTTCTGGTCAACCCAGAAGGAACTGTTCTCCCGAGTCAAGACAATAAGCTCTTCCTGTCCTTGGGTCTGCAAGAGAAAATTCTGAAAAAACTTCAGATGGTGGAAACCAAAGTGAAGGACCTGGAGGGGATGATCAGTTCCCAAATACCTTCCGTGAAGAGGGATTGCTCCTCTGAGCCCTACTGCAGCTGCTCCGACTGCCAGAGTCCCTTGCCCACATCAGGGTTTACTTCCACATCCGAAATGTGATGGACTCCAATCTTTTCCAGAAAAGCACTGTTTCCCTCATGTGTGCGGTGGTGTATCAATAAAGATAGACAACTATACTGAAATTACCCTGCAAGGACTGGCTCTCTATCCACCAGGGCCTAACTTCTTGTGTCTGTGGTAGTGTGATGTGTTTATGGGTGGTTAAAAACGTCTGGTATTGTGGTGCCCGCTTGGTAGGCTGGAGACTGCGGCAGCACTACAGGAAAGGATCGCCAAACTGGAATCCATGGGAGTGGGAAAAGAAGGGAAAGTCGTCAGGGATATGGCCTTGAGCTCCATGTTGAAAAAGTTGGATTGCATATAATAAAAACAGCAAGAAAGTGCTGTTTAAGGGCAATGCTGTGTAGTGTCCTATATAGGTAGGGTGGCCCTTGTGCTGGTCTTTGGCCCAAAGGTAAGTACTGTATGTAGCCTGGGAGTCTCCCTGCATTAATTACTCAGAGGTGGGCAAGGATGGGGGTGGACATAAAGGACACTGACATAAAGGAGACTGTGTAATTTTGTCTAACTTTTACTGCTGCCTACTCTGTGCTAAGCATTGTGATAATCCTTGGGAATCTGTCTTGAGTGTTTCAGGAGCACTCAGTTTAGCTGGTCGGACAGGTAATTTCAGAACAAAGAATTGTAACACAGTGGAGTCATACCTTGAACTTAGGTGAATTCTGCTCATGTGAATCCCAGCTTGACAGGGAGGGGAGAAGGAAAGGAGGCGCCTACGTGCAGGTCCACTCCCGACTGCGGAGATGGGAGTAGATGGTCCCTTTAGTGGGTCTCAGATCACACATGCCTTATAGTCTGTGCATTTTTGCCACAAAAAATGTTTACAGTCATTGACACACTTTGTAACTATCTTTTTTTTTAATTAATTTATTCTTTTTTGAGGAAGATTAGCCCTGACCTAACTGCTGCCAATCCTCTTTTTGCTGAGGAAGCCTGACCCTGAGCTAACATCAGTGCCCATCTTCCTCTACTTTATATGTGGGATGCCTACCACAGCATGGCTTGCCAAGAGGTGCCATGTCCGCAACCGGGATCCGAACCTGCGAATCCTGGGCCACCAAAGTGGATTGTGCGAACTAACCCCTGCGCCACCAGGCCAGCCCCTAACTATCTGACGCCTAAATGAAAATATTCCATTTGGTGTGCAAATGAACAGTGATCTGTTGCCATACTGGAGGAAAACTGGCTATGCTGTTCAACAGGAGACAATATAGCAGTCTCCCAAGTGGCATCTTCTTAAGGGACTTCCAAGGGTAATTTTGATCATAACTTTTGTCCAGTGCACTGGCATTTAAATACAACCCCTGTGTAAGATGAAATTTCACTACACAGTGCAAAAGCAGCTCGGTGAATACAGGGTGGGGCTAGGAAAGGCTTTGAAGAGGAAGTGACACTGAGTTGTCCCATAAAGGGTTACATAGGCAGACAACGAAATGGAAGGTATTCCTGCTGATGGGATCATCGCTGAGCCATAAGAAAAACGAGCGGCCTGTGTGGAGAACAAGGAGAGTTTCAGGATGGCTGAAGAAATGGCTATTTCCAAAGCTACAGTGAAGGATTTTGGCTTCGGGGCAAGACACACCAACCTCATCCTCAAGTCAGCTTTAATTCATGATGTGGTGAACAGAACAGATGGGAGTTATCAACCCTGCCTTATCTGACAGTGTACGTGAGAAGTTTGTTAACTATGCTGCTGAAGGAGTGTCGTGCAATCTTTTGAAGTCAATGTCTCAGTTTTTTGTGCTGTCTAAATTTCAGCATCTTCCTGCGTAGTTCCAGGCATCTTGTCTTGGTGACTGCTCTGGGGTGTAGCAAAGGAAAGTGTCAGAAGAAGGGCCTAGAAGAGAAGACTGATGTCAGGTAATGCAGGGCCTTAAAGGTCATACCATATTGTTGGAAATGGACCTTTGTAGGCCATTAAACAGGGGAGTGACATAGATTTGGTAGTCTGCATGGGAGACAAATAGAATGAGCTAGATGCGAAAGATAGAACAGCCTGTGCATCCTGTTAGGGTGCACTGTGTGGTAGAAACTGATGGGGTCACCTCGTTCCTGGCTCTCAGCTCCCCAGAAAGGATGTGTGATTCACACCACAATCATAAGAAATTGCTCCCAAGTAGTCATTCCTAGTGGGGGTCATTCTTTTCTTGAGATCAGAGCACTTATGTCCAGGGCATCAGTTAAGGGACTTTAGATTCTTGACAAGCAGAGAGTGAAGGCAAGCTGGGGAAAGGGCTGGAGAGCTGTTTTACCCTTCAGGTTAGATGGGGAAGATGAACCGCCCTACACCAGTGTCCACACTTTGGGGAGGAGAATCCTTACTCTCCAAATTCAGTCTCTTTCCTTTGGCTAAAAACCCAGACAGTAGCCTGTTTTCAGACTCCCATTTCAGTCTCCACAAAGACCTCTATTAACACTATCTTTCTGCAAAGGGGAACAAGTAATTATTCACTTTCTATAAGTCACTTCTCTCTCCACTGCCACCACGCTAGTCCCGGCTACCATCATCTCTTACCTGGATTCTTGAAGTGGCCCCTTAATTGGACTCCCTGCTTCCATCTCTGTTCCCATTCAATTTATTCTTACACAGTAGCCAAAGAGACCATGTTACTCCTCTACTTAAAACCGTCCAATGGCTTCTTATTTTCCTCTGAGTTCAAGTCAAGTTCTTTTTCTTTTTTTCGTAAGGAAGAGGTATCCTAAGCTAAAATCTGTTGCCAATCCTCCTCTTTTTTTCACTTGAGGAAGATTAGCCCTGAGCTAAGATCTGTGCCAGTCTTCCTCTATTTCGTATGTGGGATGGCTCCACAGCATGGCTGATGAGTGAGGTAGGTCCACACCCAGGATCCAAACCTGTGTGAACCTAGGCTGCCAAAGCAGAGGACACGGAACTTTAACCACTTGGCCATGGGGCCGGCCTCCAAGTCAAGTTCTTAACTAAAAAACTGTGCATGATGGCATGATCCTCACTCTCCCTCCTTTTTACTCTCTCCACTCTTACCACGCTCTTACTATTCCTCAAATATACTAAGCACTGTCTGACCTCAGGGCCTTTGCACTTGCCGTTCACTGTGCATGGCATACTTTCCCCAGATACCCACACAGCTTCTTTTCTTACTTTCCTTGGGTCTGTGCCAAAATGTCAGCTAATCTGAGAGGCCTTCCTTGAGCATCTTACATAAAGTAGTGCCCCTCATGCCAATATGTTGTATCCTCCTTTACCTGCTTTTTCTTCATAGCACTTATCACCTCCTCCACTTTTACTGTTACGTAATTGCTTATTATCTAACAACTCCTCCATCCACCCCAGCCCACTAAGAATGTAAACTTCAGGAGAGAAAGGGGCTTTGTTTGGTTCACTGCCATAATCCCAGCACTTAGAACAGTGCCTGGTACTTAGCAGACACTCTATTTGTTGGATGAATGAGTGAATCCCAGTCTTGACTTTTAGAAATCTCATACCAGCTTCCTGTTCCCCTCTCTCTGTAGACACATGGTGACAGATCAACACTATGATGGGATTCTTCCAAGTATGGGGAGCTAGTAGCTAATCTTTATTGGGCACTTCTTCAGAGTTACATACGTTGCTAAGAGCTTTACCTGATTTTTCTCATTTGATCCTCACCATACGAAGAAGTAAGTACTATGATTTTCATTTTCCTGTCGAGGAAGTGCAGAGAGGTAGAGTAAGTTGCTAATATGTGGCGTAGCTGTGACTGGCACTCAAAGCAGCCTGGCTCTAAGCCTGTGCTCTGAGCCACAAAGTGTGGGTGGAGGATCTTCTCGGAAGCTTTGGACTAACTGCAGCAGGCTGGAAGGACCCAGACAGGTGAAGACGAGAAGACTCAGGAGGACAGAGCAATGAGAGCCCAAATGAGAGAGAATTTGGAAAAAGTGTATTCCCGTATGTTTTTAAGTTGGTATCTAAAAGTTTTTATCATAAATTTAAATAGTTGCAATGGATGTAAATTCTGGCAAATTGTAAATAATGACAATTTAAGATAAAACTGCTAAACCACTTTTTATAATGTTCGCAATAGAATCTACATAACAATCAGATAACCACCATCATCCATTTAAAATTACATGAATGAGCTTTTTAACATTCGGTAATTCTACACTGTTCTTTTATCACCCCTAACTTATATTTATGTTCTACTCTCTATAAAAGGTTATCCAAATGTAAGACTTTTTATGTTTGAAAAACCTTTTATTGATCACTTCTTTGCAATAAAAACATGTATGTATTAAAGTAAAATTTTAAAAATTTTACTGTAACTGTGTGGCTCTAGATATTAGAAAGAATTCTTCTGAATTGAGTAATCATTACAATTATCTTTAATATATAGCTGCTCAAAATGACATGATTACAAATTTTGATAATACATAAGCATGAAAGGTAAAATTCTACTGGAAACACATCTCTCAGTGAGATGGATGGGGCTTCCCCACCAATTAATTCATGTATCTGAATGACTATTTTTTGCCATTAGATTAACGGGGTTCAGTTTCGATTTTACTTCTTTTTTGTTTTCATAGATACAGTGCTGAGAAATATTGCTCACATAAATAGATGGGATGCTGGTAGTTTTGTTAGAGGATTGTTAATTATTTGGTTTCCTTCTGAGTTATATGCCAAAAATCCAATGGTGTTCCTTTGTCAGCTGACAGTTCAATTAGGTCCACCACTAAGTTTGTTGAAAGCAAAGAAGTGGAAATCATCTGACTTGCAAAAGAATTCATTATTCTGTCATTAGAGTCCTTTACTTTCTCAAGTGACTTTTAATTATACTGATTACTCTCACTTAGAAGTATTTAGGAAGAGTTGGGAAATTCGAGATATTGTTAATTTCAACACATCTTTTAGCATTACAATATCACTGTAATTTATATACATATTAGTTGCAGCTGCAGATTTAGCTCAACTTATTGTAAATAATAATTATGCAAATTAGAAACGTCAGTCTCTTTGTCAAACCAACTAACCAAATCAGACATTTTTCGGTCAGAAAAATTTTCACTTTTCAAGTCAAATAAACGTGTTAACAGGCGTCCCTGCGACATT